CCCCAAAACCCCAAAACCCCAAAACCCCAAATTCATAGTAGTGCTAAAATAAGTTGAAAATTATAAATTTAACTTTTGTTTAAATTAGATTTTCATCATTTTGTTCTACATTTTTAATTCTTCTCAATAATTTTTTTCTTCTGTTTTTACTTGGATTTCTCTTGGATGAATTTTTTTGCATTTTCAAAGCATTAAAATACGCGGTGGGAAAAGCAGACGATCTAGAAATGCTCAAATAGATGTCTCCGATTTAATTCTAAGCCTATTCATTTGCTTTCCCATGTCGCTTTGATACCATTCTTCTTCATTTCATTCTCAAGTTCTTTTTCCTTTTCATTCATCACTACACTCAAATCTTGAACAAGCGCCATAAATTTTTACTTTTCCAAATCCATTTTCCTCTAGAATAGAAGAGATATCTTCTTCATCCAAGAGTAAGTATTGCACATTAATCTCTTTCAAACTTTTCCTGAAATCCTCGCTTTGGGAGAAACCTTTGATTAATTTTTCAAAATTAGTGATGTATGCTCTTCATGGCCTTGAGTATATTAATTCTAATCTTTGAATTTGAGCTCCCCAAAGAGCTTCTTCGAGGGTAGGAACAGAGGGCAGATATATTTTGCATCAATAAAATCTAAGTCACTCCACATGTTTGAATTTTGAAAGAAGGTTGCCAAGGTTTTGTTGGCTGATGTGAAATTTACCAATCACTAGCTTTTTCTGAACTCTTGATGCTATTGCTAATAATCCTTCCATATAATAATCCTCAGATCTGTTACTGGAAAATCAGGAGGGATATAATTCAAAGTTTTGAACCTTATTTGGGAAGTAATTCTTAAGAAAGTTGTTAATGAGTTCAGATTTTTCAGGTTGAAAGTAACGAATACTAAAGTACTCTAAGTTAGGAATTCTTTTCTTAACTTTCTTAATCAAATTCAAGTCAGGAGTCTCGTCTAGATCAAGTCTGAAAGAGGTATCTCCTTCTTTATAGCGAATTTCACCAGATCCCCCAAAGATACCTTTTAAAAAGGGGCTGTCGATAGATCTGCAGAGAGCAGCAAATTCTTTCTGGGTGTAGGTCGTAAAAGGAGCGAGTTGTTCAAGAAGTTCATTTTCTCGAAGAGCAAGATTCAGATCCCTTCGTGTTCTTTTAATTTCCTTCTCTAGTTCTGTAATCTTTGTGTTTTGCGTCTCTTTCTCTTCTTCAAGAGCTGATTTGTTCACGTGTAGTCTAGCAGTATCTTTCTGAAAGAATGTTTGTTCTTCATATATCTGACTTTTATTGAGATCTTTGATATTGTCAATCTTTTGTTCATGGATATTATGCTCATTCACTAGTTTATTTTGATGAATTTCCTTTAGCTTTGTGCTTCGTTTCCCTAAATATGCCGAATTTATTTTCTTCTTCAGGGTGCTTATGCATGATGCTTTGCTTCTCCTCTTCAAGGTTGGCAAGGGGCTTCTTCAGTGTTTGGCCTAAATCATTAGCATTCAAAATGTGGATCGAATTCCCAATATATAAGTTCTAGTGGAGTCATAATAATTTTGTATTGCCATCACATCATCCGGCATTACCAAGATATCGGGCTAAAATAGCCCTATACTCTGTCTTCATAATCGAGAGTCCTTTGTAGCAGTATGTTTTTAAAAAATTGATTCTTCCAACTCATTTTAAGACGTAGAATTAATTGCCAGAGATATGGAGTTAATTAGTAGTGACGTCCATTAAAAGAATAACTGTCCAAGTCAGGAATAGTAAAATTTAAATTTCCATCTTTATATCTAAAAACCAGAAAAATAAAAATTTATTAAGAGAGCAATCCATCTTCAAATTCCCGAAGTCTTTAAAGAAGAACATTCAAGAAAACTAGGCTAAAAGTGTTCCTGTGTTTGACGGCTTAAATCTACTATCTGTAGTTTAAAGATAGCCTCCTCTTCATTAAAAATAGATATTTGCTCTTCCAAGGCGTGGAAATTTTTAGCTAATCTGCTTAGACGGGAGGAGAGCAATGTTAAGATAAAGTTTCTTACTAGGATTGCCGTCTTTACTAGTCTTACCATGTGTAGCAGAAGGCTTCTTCTTTATATCTGTGACTAGTTGAGGTATCTTTTCCTCTTCTACAGGCTTAGGAGTTCGCATGGGTCTTCTCATATCTTGCCTGGAGAAACTTTTCTTTTTATTCTGAAGAAGGCTTGATGACCTCTTTACTTTCTTTGGGGTTCGAAGATGATGCTTCAAAGATATACGCCTTGTGAGGCTTCTTGGCTTATCCATTTTATCTTCATCATGCTTGGATTCGTTAATATTTTTAGTATTCCCCATCACAAGCTTTGCTTTGAGTACATAATTCTGGTTCAGCAGATGCTCGACCGCTCTTATATACTTTGCTCCCAATCTCTTGAATTCGAGTGCATTGATGTTCGTAGCAACATTTCGAGTAGCAGCAAGTGACTCCTTCCAGGTCTTAATTGCTGTATATTTCTTAAACAGCTCATGATTGACTAAGAAGTCTCGAAGTTCTTTTACTTCCTTTACAAATGGCTCTACCTCGTAGTATGCTTTAGCCTGGCAGATAGCTTTGAGCCCGGACAGAATGTTTTCAGCCCTTTCTTTAATTGTTTCATCAAACTCTTTGTATTCTTCCTCTGGACTAAGATATCCAAGGGTACTTGGAGATACCTGCTTCCTACAAAGATCGATGGACTTCAGGTGCATTCTCAGCTCCTCTGGAGACACCAGGAGCACACAGTCGGCTGCAGAGTACTCTTTATTCTTATGTTGACGGCAGACGTAGGTTTCTTTGACCTTTAAGTAGTATTCTGGCCTATTTTCGCATGGATCAGCTTGGCATTTGGGGAGTTCCATATTTTATTTTATAAAGTTAAAAGATCTTGAGGTTTTATAGCTTCTCAAGATTGGGTCAACAGCTGGGGTTTTGGGGTTTTGGGGTTTTGGGGTTTTGGGG